TTACTCAACCTATCACCAGCCTCCTTGGCAGTCTCCGCCCATTATCAACCGGTTGCCACGCTGCCGTGCCATGCCCGCGATTGTCTCTTGCCAAGCATGCGCCCTCACGCCCAGAATCCTCCTCATTGGTGCCGATGCCAGCGCCGCGCCTCGCCAAAGACCTTGGGAGCGGGACAGGCGGAGCACAAGAAGCAAGCCCATTCCACCTGATTCACTCCATTTCAGCGCCCATATGCCCACGGTAGCCCACCGCCGGCCGTCACTATCGTCTGCTTCTTCTCTACCAGTTTTTTTCTCGCTGCTGCTACGGACACTGCTGCTGCCGCTGCCGCCAGCCACCCTAAGCACCCAAGCATCCAAAGCCCGAAGCCAAGAGAGCCTTTGCCTGCTTTGCCTAGCCTTGCTTGCTTGGAGCACGCAGTAATAGCTGCACCAGAGGGACAGGCCACCGCCAGATGCCCCTCCATTTTCCTTTCGTATGACGCGTTGCGAGTCCCCCAGCCGGCAACCATCCGCTCCTGCTGGGTCCCATCTCTCCGCTCCCTTGCTGCCGCTTATTATTTCAGGCCCAGCAAGGTACGGCTGCATTTCGTCCTAGGGGTTGGTTCATCAGTCGATCTGCTCATTTTTTTTTCTTTCTCTCTTCGGTCGTCGCTCCGTCTGTCAAGGTGTCCCGTGTCGAGCATCTTAACCATCCCCGATTCCCATTTCTTGCGACGGACGATAGACGGAATAGTGGCACGGCATACCACACGAAGGCCGAATGCCTCCTCCCCGAACACGACGTCTAAGCTCCTCCGGCCTTTGACCCACGCAGAGTCTAGACCATGTTCTCAAATACACGACTTCTTCTGTCAGCACTCGCTGCGACAACATTACTTGCGACATCATCCGCCGTCGCCATCGAAGCTCGACAAGGCCCCGGCTCCGTCAACGAATGGATCACCGTCGATGAGGAAGGTCAACCAAAAACCATCACACCATCAGTCGTCACCAGCAATGGCGCTCGCACCACCCTCAGCCCGCCGCCGTACTCGCTTACCGGCAGCGTGTTCACCGTCACCGCGACCAACGGCGCTCTCACAACAAGCACCGGCGTGCCTCCGCCGCCCCAAGCCAGCAACACGTTAGGATTTGGAGGAGTATTTTCCGTATGCAACAACAACCCGGGCACCGACGCTCCCTTCTGCCAGCCGCGACGTGGTAGTACTCTGCACGTGGAGACAACGTACTACAGTAAGCTTAAATCAAGTCTGAGTCGCGGCCCCTCCCCCAACTAACCTTTTCTCCCTTTAGTCACCTGGGACACTACCTTCTTTGAGGACCCAAACACGCCAATTGGAATCGTCGGGTATGATGTCAGTAACACCGGAAATATGGATGCGGCACCCGCATTCTCCGTAACAAACATCCGCGGCGGCGACGGATGGGCGTATTGGACCCCACGCGTCGGCGATCTCGAAGAGAAAGACTCGAATAACATGACCCTCATCCTCATGTACAACGACCCCATCACAGACGAGCAGCAAAATGTCACAGGCCCCGTCTTCACCATCCGCCCAGCACTCGACATCGACGGCAGCTCCAGCTCAAGTCCGAACCTAGTCGCCATCATACTCCCCGTCATCCTCATCACCCTAGCCATCGTCGGGGTAATGCTCTGGCTATGCTTCCGCCGACGCCGCCGTCACGCGGCCGCCGCTGCCGCTGCAGCAGCAAAATACCACGAAACCGTCGCCGGTCCGCCAAAAAGCCGCGGACTGAAGAACGACGCGAATATCCAACTCGAACCAACGAGTCCACCGCCCCACTCGCCCGGGCGGAATGTTTTCCAGGAGGAGGTGCGTAGGCAGGAACGGGAACGGACTTAAAACTACTTCTTTTGGGAACTGCAATGACTGATGGTAATGATTTCAAAAGGCCCTGTCCGATGAGAAACGTCGTCATCGGACGTCATGAGACTCGCGCGGTGACGTCTTTCCAGCGATGTTCTTTTTACAACAATACCCTCATGAAGGGAGATAATGATCAAATATCACGAATCAAAATATAGACGCTATGCGTTCCTCTTCAACGTTCAACTTTAACGCTCCCATGGTCGTGTGTCTCGGATGATGTGTGCATGTCAGAAGAAGCAACCCACCCCAGCGACTCGAATTGAGCATTTCGAACCCCAGCTCAACGATCAAACTCAAGGGTGATCGAGGACACTCAATTGCATTTGCCCAGCGAAACCCATGCAGCGATGTCGTAGGTCTTGAGGTTCAAATCTACGAGACAGGAAACGAGCCGAAGTTCGTGAACTACAGACTGAGGCTGACCTTCCATCACCGCGCAATGACCGATAGCCACTCTGGGTAGCCCTCTACTTGATCCCTTGCCTCTGAAGGTCTCAATCCTGCCTCGCCAGCATAACCACATTTGATCGTACATTACTCCGATATGAACATTTGAATCTTCAAACAATCCATACCCAGTCCTTCATACTGATCACATTTTCGAATGTCTAGTGAAGACACTATTTGTCGTACGAGGGATAAACCACGAATAAGAAAACTTCATGCGCTGAGTTGATGCTGTAATACCTCGTTTGTTGACCTAGACGTCAATTTCCTCCATGATTCGATCCAACTCAGCCATGAAGTATTCCAATGTTCCCCATTTTGGTTCATTCTTGTTGTCCTCTTCAGCTTCTTCGAATTCGAGATTGACACCCAAAGATCTTATCTCTCGCAAGTTTTCTTCCGTCAGGGGTTGCGGTTCGTTCAGCTCTTCTAAAACGTGAACTATTCTGTCTTTCCAATACGTTTTCAGGAATTCAGAAAAGCTGCAGCTCATTTCCACAAGCTTGGCTTCGAACTCGGGTAGCAACTCATGTAAAGTCTCGATAGCCCGCGAGTCTTCTTCTAAAAGCTCTTCTCTATCTTCGTCGCCAATGTCTCTTGGTTCGCCACAGTAATCACAGCAAGTGTGATGAATTGAGAGGGCTTCAAACGTGGCCATTCGCACTGCCGCCAATTTGAAATCCTCAGGCACATCCCAATGCCCTTCTAAAGCCGGCGCCACTTGGTTTGAAAGCCAATCCAGTCTTTGTTCCCACTGAGAAGGAGGAAGATATGAGTTAATTCCTTTGCATAACATGGAATACGGATGGCAACCATAAACTGCACATTCGCATATGCATTCGTCTCCAGACGGGAAATTATGCGACAACTGTATACTTTCTTTGACTTCGTTCATCATCCGAAAGTCTTCTGCCTTCATCTTCGGATGGCCAAGTTCTGCAAACAACTTGTGTGTAGTTGTAAATCCCGCCATGCGGCCTGGAACCTGAAGAGTTGGGTTCGCCCCCATTACGACGAGGTTGACAAACGTCAGTGGCCTTGTGGTAACCATTGATGGCGTTGTCCCGGTAGAATCTGGCGCATCTATCTCTCTGAAACCATTAGAAAGGGCGATTTGCAGAAGATGTCTTGTATCTGTATCGGTCCGTGAAGCGCTGATCAGGTGATACAGTGACCACCAAGTCGCCATGTAGCTCACGATTTGTATCTGAAGCCTCTGCGGCACCTGAACGCCCTTTCTCTCCAATGCTTTTACGACTTCTTGAGTTTGTATGTCGAGTACGTTCTCCTCTGAGATCCCGAAGGTTTGGATCTCTGTTGGGGAGAGCTGATTCAATGCCAGATACGCCAGTTCTTCCCGCCGTTTTTTTATGTGACCAATCACTGCTTCTTGACACCGCGTTGGCGCATCCAGCACGAAGGCAAGTATTTGATCGTCAAGTTTCATCGAGCAGCCTGCTTCTAAAAGCATGGCGACATTGTCAGCACATGAGCAGGTATGAGGGCATCTTGCTGGTGTAGACACTGGACATATCTTCTTACTCCCGTTGAGGGCGAAGGAAAGCACCGAACCCATCCTGTCGTCATTCAATTGCAGAACCTGAGTTCCGTAGTGAGATAAAACTAGCTCCAAACCCCTAGTCCAGGAGGCAAGAAGCTCGACGGATGCGAAGCCAAAAGCGTCATTTTCCCAGAGGATGGCCATTTCAATATCTTTCTTCAAGATTTCGACCAATGCTACTTCATCTTCTCGTAGAATCGCTATGTGTAGTGCATTTCCGTACCCTGTTATGATAATTTTAGTCAGTTTCCAAGCCTATCAACACAGGCAGACGCATACATTCTGTCGTTTCCGGTAGTGCACGAGCTACCTCATGGTAGAATTGAATGTCCTCGGGATACATAGTAACAACGGCCATTGGCGAATAATCAAATATCACTGAAGTGTCGTCAGGCATGAGGAATTGGTGGTCCAACGCCAATGATGCGAAGTCTGTGTCGTTGTAGGGGGGGGCATAAAAAACTTTCATGTCCAAGTTAAAAGCAGTCCAGTTGAAGAAGGTGTGAAATGGAAGTCTGACGAAACTAATCAGTAAACATATGCACATTGTCAACTACCTACTCACTCGTTTAAATGCCCGTAAGGCCGATCCCGGGGCACGCCGATAGCCACGAGATACGCCAGGAGAGGCCTCAGTTTCCACACATCAAATGCAGACAACATTTCGGCTCCATTGCATGCAGCGTGGAGTAAGTTCCCGTGAAAGGTATCGATTTCAAGTGGAGATGCCTTGCCGCTGCTGAACATCCATCGGAGGGTTTGCATACCTTTCTGTAAAACAACGGAGAAGCTTTCTTCATCCAGCCTAGTCGACTGCTGAATTGTCTCGATAACCCGAAAAGGCGGTGTCCGATGATATATGAAGTATATCCTAAGCGAAGGACATATACTGAATCCTCCCGCTCCAGACGTTGATGACATAGAAACAGTAATCGCAGCGGATAGGAGCGTTCGGAATGCTTTCGTTGATATGCCAACTGACCAGCTTTTCTGCGACGTGACTCCCGCAAGTGGACAGTCAGGTGCATGCACTTTCTCCACAACACTTTCTGCATTAAAGAAAGCTGAACTGAATCCTCGTCTGATTTCTTTTCTTATTCGTCGTGGGTGACATCGACAGCTAAACATGCTGTTCATGGTCGAATTGTCTTGTTGGGCGGTTTGGGGCGAGCTCAGCGAACCTGACGATTGATGGTCGATACCAGCTTCCCTACAAGCCAGACGAAGGGCATCTGGCTTCGTCAAAACCCGCCGCAAGACGATTTGTGAGTCGGAAGAAACAAGCGCAGAAACAACCTCTTCAATTCGGCTCTCTACACGAGTGAGCTGAACGGAAGACGCCTCCATGTGCCGCTGTGCATGCAGAACGAATGGCCCAAGAGATAGGCTCAATTGTGAAAAGTCATCGGACAGCTTTCCTATTGTGCGGTGGTCTTCGTTTGAAACCTGCTGTACATTATCGAGCTTGGTATTGAGTTCGGTCCTCGTTGTCAATACCTCGTCCCCAATGGATCGAGAAATATTGCCAGTCTCGATAGATATCGCGCTGAACGCTGTTAGTTCATTGTTACTCGTAACCGTCCCATATATGACGTACAGCTGAGTGACCTGAAGAGCAGACTGTAACGCTTTATTTGCCTCTGACAGCTGACTTTCCAAGCGATCGAGATGACCTCGTCGGAACGGGTATGTCACCCGATTTGTGCGGTCTTTCATCCAATCCGAGATGGATTTGGAAGGGTCCTCGTTCACCCTTATGTCATCGACGAACGTACGCAAGACCGCGAGCTCCGCATTTGCAGCCATCATGGCCTGCTCGATGGCTGTGTCATGTCCTCTTGAAGCTGTGGCAATGTTGTTCCGCATCGCTTGTATCTGATCCACTGCTCCTTGCAAAGCCTGGCACAGGCGAGAAGCTGAGGCGATTTCATCCTTGTGTCCCTTAATTCCGTCGAGGTATTTGGTGATCCCCGAACAGACCTGAAGACCCAAGGACACCACACCGACGACTGTCCCTAACAATTCGGCCATCGCACATAGGGACGAGTCGCGCGAGCTACTGAGGAATTGAAGTGACTGGGGTTCCAACCGTTGGTCACGCCCTTTGGTCGAATTCGAGAAAAGTCTGAAGAATCTGAGTGAAAGCGTCAAAAAGAAAAGCAGATAGGAGATGGGAAAGAAGAGCAAACCGACAAAATTTGCCTCACCATTCCACCACAAGATCAGGCTGGCGAATGAGAGCTTATGCCAACGTAGGTAGGCGGGGTAGCTATATGCAGATGCACTGCCCGCGAGGCATAGTGGTTCGCCTGGGTGCGTCGCACAAGTCGGTCGTGTCCTTCTCTGATTGAACATTTAACTGCCAATGAGGCGACTCTCCATGGGCACCCCAGTCACGAAGTCGACGGAATCAGCCTTTGCGGTGCTCTAAGCCACGATATCACGGTAGATGAGCAGTCCTTTGAAACCAAACATTACATATTACTTGATGGTGCTTTTAGTGTAATTTCTTCAGCCTAATATTATGCCATGCACAATGCCTCCTGTAGTTCTGGCCCATGTGCCCATCTCACGCCCTATTAAGCCGTTTCCGCTTCCCCCGGCCCATCGTTGAAGAACAGTCCCCTGCGCCCGTTCAATATTGACCATACCTTGCCTTCTTCCAATCTCCAAAAACACTGATTTCGCTAGTCCCTGATCATGATCCGTCACGGCTTCGCATGCAGCCACGTATAAAGGCCACAAGAGCGCGTTTGCGGGTCCCCCAGAGGCGATGACCGCCATGCAGCTCTCCAGAGACAAATGAGTGTTCTTTTGAACTTCGGGATGACTGATCGGGTAGCCATAGACAGCTCGATGTAGATAGACCAGTGCGCTGTGGCGATAGGCTTGAGCGTTATGAACCATGGCCTCGAGATGCTGATGCTGAGCGTCCCCATCTTCCTCCAGAGACATCAAGATGTTGCTCGGGTCAACGGATGGTTGCCAGCTTTGAAGGGCCTTCTCTGTCGATTTTGTTATTGACTCGTATTCGACCCTGAGAACGGCTGCTTTAGTCCCTTGATTGGCTGCGACGGCTGCTTCAAGATCCTCCTTCAGCGACATTGCGATGCTGAGGCGGTACAATACTGGCCACAGGTCGCCCACTAGCCCCATGAAAGGATCCGCATGGGTGGTGTCGTTGGGCTTCGAGGAGGTCATGACTGCTAACGGGTAAGTGTAGTCTGACACCGACACCGCTGAAACGGGACTTATCCCAAGTGATAAGGACGAGATCACGTCATAGTAGTGAAAGGCCTTTGTATGTTGTCAGTTGAGCAATCCTGATGTGTCCCGCCATGTCCCCGTACCTTCTCCAGAAAACAGACTGCAGTACTTCGTTCGGACTCGGGGATGGAGCTGATGACCAGAAACGCTGCTTTCAAGTGTCCGACGAACATGTCAGGGGTATTAGACGACGTGAGCTGGGAAATTAGCGATAATACTCCTTAGTTCCAGCTCAAGTACCGGACTTACTGCCTCATAATATGCCAACAGCATAACGGTTGCGAGAACCTCTTTATGCTGGCACTTCCACTGCACCAACTCGAAAGCACCCTTCGCCGCCAAAGCTCTGTACTCGGACGAGTGTCTAGACTCATAGACGCCAGTATGCTCCAAGTGACCACAGGCAAAAGCACAGATCGCATAGAAGACAGGTGAGTTGTCGTAGGCAAGGGGTAGGATGAGGTCCTGAAAAGAGTTGTGCGGTTGTTCAACAAAGACGATGAGCGGTGACAGGGTGCTGCAAAAGTGATGCAAGAGCTTTCGACTTTGCGAGTCTGTTGTCAGGTCGGAGAACATTGGGAAGGGTAGCTCAAGTGACAATGACATGGGGTCGACGGAGCCGGATCGGGCTGATACTGAATCGTCGAAGATGCTGTTGGTGAGGACTGAACAAACTTCTGACTCGCTGCTGTTTCCCAAAGTGTCGAACAACTCCATTGACTCGTCCAACTCCATGTTGCAGAAGTTTAAGTCCAGCTGCGGAGAGACCGTGAGGTCAATGGTCTCTTCAGGTGGACGGCTGGGAGTTGGTTTCGTGACAGCAAAAGTGTGGATGAACCCCTCCTCTGGCTTGAGTTCTCTTCCCACGAAAATGTTCCGAGCCTTCTTCGATGCTGGTGACGCCCTCTTGGTAGTCCTCGACCGCTTTGGCTCCACAACTTCATATGTGCAAGTCAATCCCTTGAGGGAGCAGCGTGTGCACTCGGGCTTGCGCTCGCAACATTTCTTCCGCGCTTCTCTGCTGTACGTTGATTAGATCATCGTGGAAGCAGATAGGTCAACAGCAGCTTACCATGAGATGCAACCTAGTTGTTGTGTTAGTAACTCATTCTCGAATCACGATCACTAGTTTCTTGTGAGATGCTTACCTGTTTTTGTTCTTTGTCTGCGGACATTGGGTGGTAGAGATTCGGAGACCAACATGACCACAGAAGATCTTCAGGAAAAGCTGAGCCACATCAAGCCCTAGCTTGGAAGCCAAGGTATGACATGAAACCAAATAGAGAGTCCAGATAAAGGTGCCCTGACTAGTCCATGGGCGGCGTACTAACGGTTCGTTTTGAACACTCACTCACTCATTAGAGCTAGGGAAGACGTCGTAGTCGGGAACAAGGATGGTATTCAAACTAGGTTGATCCCATGATCTTCACTTTCGGGACTCGATATTGCGAGACCATATGGGCGCCATGTGGCAAGCCCAGCTGAACTCGACATCAGACGGAGGTGAGAGAGAGCTTACCCCTCCTCAGCCACAAATTGGGATTTGCACACATCCCTGGGCTCTAAGCTCCCAGAACGAGGCAAAGATCGTCGTCGTTTCGTCAGTATCGGGTCTGCAGAAGCTCATGTTGGTGGTACAGCGTGCGGTGGAATACTCCTTCTACGCTCCTTCATGGAAGTCATGCCCGAGAGAGGCGCTAAAACGGTCTGTAATATCGTGCCTGAAAGAAGTTCATGCATAAGCTTTGCCCCGTAAGAAGATCAAGCTGGGAAACAAAAACCGGATTCTCCTCTCTGGCCTTTCCTATCTTGTGCTCAAACACGCCCAAAAGGTGTTTAGCTCAGGCCGTTGAGCGGTCGGCACTGCAGTACCCCACAAGTTCCATGGGCATTTTGACAGGCATGAACATTGCGTCAACATCGGAGACGCTAATTGACGTGACAGCTCTAAGATTACCATCTGAACTGGGGCAATGCGGGGAACCACACGATCTCACCCCGGACTCTCACCTGTAACACGGGTGTATCCGTCCCTGTAGGCAACAATTATGTAGCGGCCAATCATGCACCATCCTCCGTAAAGACGTTGAGATACGGGGTGGACGGCCACGTCTACCCCAGCTTCGAACCCCGCAAGCCGGTGTTTGCCATTATTCCATACGCCCGGTCGAGAAGGAAGACTAGCAGGGAACGGACGCCTGGCCAGTAGGAGGCTCAAAACCCGGCGCGAAGGTTCAGTAAGATTGTTGAAACATAGTTCTCATTGGGCAGATTGGACTCCAACAGAGGCCGTGTCTGCGACCAAGACAACCTGTCACCGGGCATAAGGAGCCCTGCTAAGGTGTGGCTCAACATGGCACGCTTTGAGCTCTCCCGGGGCCCGAAGGGATCTTTGGTGGCTGAACACCAAAGACAACAGGTAATAGATCTTCAAAATGCCGTTGCATTTTGATGTTTGTTCCACTGTGGGAGTGGACTTTCAGTGGCTACTCGGAGGTCCCGATGAAATGTTTGAACAGAAGCAAGCTGAATCAACTCAAACTGACCTGATTGTACCCTCTGATCATCATGAGACTGTGGCATCGTCTGGCCTGAAGATCCGCGCAGTATTCGTCAGCCCGGTACAGATAGTGATCCCTTTCATTTGCCACGGAGACAACAGGCACAAAACAATATGCTTAATGATCGGTTATATTGCATGTCGGCACATTTCTGAGATTGAACCGGAATATGACTCGTCTATGGTCTGCCGCCATGATAGCGTACATGTACCTGCCCAATTGCGAGTATTCGTAACAGGGGTAAGCGAAATACTGTGTCCTTCCTTCTTCAAACACCAATCCAGAGTCCGCAAAGAAAACCTACACTGTAGCGTTGGCCAAAGAGGAGATAAAATGATGGAGGACCGTTGGTTCCGGTCGAAAAGTCTTCGGTAATCTCGTGTCTTATGCACTGCAACCCACCACCGTTTTCTCGCACTTCTCGTCACATCAAGAAGCGAAGTGGCTGGGATTCAATCCTTGCACGGAGAAATTGGCCTCGCTAAAGGCATCCTACGCCACAAATCTCGGCCGAGAGACACTGAGTCGGCATGGATCCCGGCGTGCTATCTCTCTCGATTCCCCACGGCGGACGGTTTCAGACGCATCTCGGGATTTTGCCGATGTATTCTCTCACTGATAAGTCACTAAGTCTCCGATCCAGACCCAAACAGCCAGCTGGGCGCCATCTCTCTGTCGGTTCGGAACCCTGCGCAGGCCGCGCTGACGCAAGCAAGGACGTCTCCGAAATGAAATCTCTTCCCGACTATCCCAGGCCCGTAGTGTTCGTCTTTTCCATGCCGACGATGAAGGGTATCTTTCCGCCAACGATGTCGCCGATGTAGTATCCAAGAAGCGGGAACAGTGACTGGTCACGTCCGGGAAGTTGAGGCACTTCGATGATGATCTTTGGCTTCCTTCCCTCCGGAGTATGGCAACCTGCATACGGTGCCCTGCCGGTCAAGGCGATGAAGACGTCGAGGTAGTCCGGGTACTTTTGCGTATGTGCTCCGAGGACGCTGTTCACAAACACAACAGCATTTGACTCAGACCAACCGACTTGCTCTCCGGCTTTGGGCTTGCTGTCGAGGAGGTAGGGGGCACAGGTAAAGCTGAGCTTGGCCCCGAGCTTGAGATAAGCCTCCCCGATCTTATCTCCTATGATGACTGCTTCTGAATCGGTGCCAAGCTCCTTCCATCGAAGTCGGTCGACGTTCAGTGAGTTGCAAGTTGAAGGCACCACAAACTGTCCACCGAGTGATAAAAGGTGCTCCGGTACATGAAGACTGCTCTTTCCGTTGTAGGCACACGCATCAATGTGAACTTGTGATACGTCCACGAGACATTTCGCTCCTTGCAAAGCGGCAAAGGCGACGATGATTTCCATCGCGATGCGGCTTGCCTCTCCTCCCCGACCGGAAAGAACCTTCTCATCGGACGTACTTAGGCTGATACCTCTAGTGCTCCGGGGGTCAAGAGGTAGAGCCACCTGGTTTGGCAGGATTAACAACTGCTTGTCGCTGATGTCTACCTCTGATGCCCAACGCAACTTCTCGAAGTCCTTTTTACCTTGCAAGAAGATAACGGGTATGCGGCGGTCGAACATGGTGTCAGCGACCATTACACCTAAAGTCAAGATCATCTCAGGCTCCTGAAATATCAAAGCTGATGGTGCATTGCCGGTGAGGATGAGCTCAAGGAGCGCCCCACTGCCGGAACAGGAACCCCGACCGCAGGGGATGGCCAGGACCTTGCCCTTCACTGACGTGCCAAGAAGTGGATGATGGGCGTCGACAACAACGCCGGTTTTTGGGTCCACACCCATCATGAAGCTCAGAGGCACATCCGAAAAGACAAGAGGGCCATGAAAAGAGCCCGGGATGACGCTGAGTCCCCTCGTACTGGAACCATTCATGATGACTGTTGACTGTCGAAAGATGGATGTTGTGGTGAGCAGTGCCCTGCCAAACTGCTTCGGGATAACCTTCCCTTTCACCTCGCAACTCGATGAAATGGGAAGGACACGACGAAATCAACGATGCTCCGACGGAGACTCCGCACCTTATCGTGGGACCGGGGCGGATCCCCGCACGGGCTTCGGGTAGGGTTTCCGGCCGGCATCGGTTCCGATAGCTTGTAATCGAGCTGAGCGGCTATTTGGTAATTTATTTTCACCTATAGGTCTTGTGCAAACCTATGTTGCATCACCGTCCCTTCGTCGCACGGCTGAACAGAGTCGATTTATTGCTATCAAACCTAGGTCAATAAGTGAAGAAATAGCTCTTGTTGACAATAGCGTGAGGAACGTAGACGTGGGGACAATCGTAATTCCCAACTGAATCGCAAGGATCGCTGTCCTCATTGCAAAACATTGGAAGAGGCGAGTCCACTTGCTCGTTTCCGTCTTCCATGACCCACTCATCCTTGAGGACAGACTTGCTAAACCCATGCCTAAAGGCCAAGATTTCCATCTCCTTGGCCTCAAAATGCCTGCTCATCAAAAGCTCATCGTCCGTCACAATTCGCTTCCCATTTTTGCCATTCTCGGCTCGCATACGCTTCGTTCTCGTCCTTTCAAGGATCTCTCTGGGCTCCGTCGGGTAGCACATAGACGCACCTGCCGCATCGCGACTACATCGTGACACTAGAAAAGCCATATCACCGGATGCCGCCATTCCTTTCAACTGGTCCTTCCTCATATACTCCTCTTCCCCAAGAAGCTTGCTCAATGCCGGCTTCCAGAGAAAGGACATCTCCAGACCCTCGAAATCATACTTCGCGCCGGGAAGATCGGTGTCGTTGGCAATTCTCCTCAGAGAAAAGATGTGTGGAAGCGGCGAGCTATCTGCCCATTGATGACTTGGAGAATAAGGCGGTCGGTCCTCCCGCGTCGCTCGCTTATGAGAAGCTGCCCAGCCGCCACGGAAACCGTCAAGTATGTCGCCAATTTTGTAACGTCGTCGATTGAACATGATCCGTTTGTCGAGATTGCCCAAGCCTGTGAAGTGCTTCTCATTGAATACAGCGCGTTCCCCGTCGTCGGATAGTCGATCAAAATCGAGCATGAGTCTTTTCTCATCAACCCTGATGAATCCGCCCTTGGGCGTCATGATAAAGAAGTCCAAGCAGACGTGCGTGATGCGGCTGTATCGGAGGTGGTTTGAAGAAAAGACGCGCTCGGTGATTTCCTTGAACGTCCGAGATACGTGGCGAAAGTTGAACCAGACGCGGGGCAGGTAGTCGCAATCCGTGATGCTGCCGATGATCATCTCCCAAAGCTCTGGAGGGAGATACGCTGCGCCGCTTCTCTGCATATCGGCCGACATCGTGTTCATGGAGCAGCCGAGAAGCTTGCCCGGCGGTCGACTTGGGCCTCTCAGTTTGAAAAGACTTCTGGAGGATGAGAAGTTTATTGATTTGTTTGTTGGGAGGGAGGAAAAGGAATGTGAGCTGAGCTAATGGATTTGAGCCTGTCTTACTTTAATGACGTAGGCAGCGTGGCCCACCGCGGAGCGACTTTCGTTGCCCCTTGAAGCCCAACGTGCATGAATGCGAAAAAGACACAAGCTGGCGGCTTTGATATTTTCGCGTTATCTTCACAAGATTTTGCCCATATGCGTCGTTTGCCAGACAGGATCGTCGTCGACTTGGAGAATGGAAAACCCCTGGCGCTCCCAGAATCCGATGGCGCCTTCGAGGAATGGATGGGTATGGAGATACAACTTCTTCATCCCTGCGTCTTTCGCCCTTTGCTCCAAGGCAGCGCAAAGCTTTGAGGCCAGTCCGGCGCGGCGCCAGACTGGGTTGACGTAGAGTCTCACAAACTCTACAACGCCTTCGCGGCCGAGACCGAGCTCGGGAAACCGGTCATCATAAGGCGCATAGCCAATGGCAGCAATGATTTGACCATTGCCGTATGCTGTCAAAAACGCTCCATTGGGGTTGTCCAAGTAAGTCTTTGAAAAGCTCGCAAGCTCTCGTTGAGCATGTTGGTTTTGAGACTCCGCGTCTATCCACGGGAACATGACGGACCTGGCCTGTTTGATGAATTCGACGATGGCTGGGATGTCCTCGGACCTGGCAGGCTGAATGGTGATCTCCATGGCGACTTTGCGAATAGGTCAAGGACTCAGTGTGATGAGTTTCAGGATGAGTCTTCCTTTAAAAGTTCGGAAATTGAAATTAAGCTGTATGTGTAGAAATGAAGTTCAAGTTAACACGATCCTTGGCACAAGAAAAATTGCTCTAATCTGCTCTAATCTAGAGCCTCGAAGCTCTTATCAGATCGTGATCCTCTCGAGCCCCGCAAGAGTGGGGGATACATGGTATCGACCTTGATGGAACGGACCGCCGGCCAGGCCTGCGGCGCGCTATTTTTACGCTACCGAGCACACCCTAGACTGCAGGCAAAGGCCTCTGACATGATTCGGATCACTCATGACTCCCCATAGAGGATTTTCTTGATGGCCTGTTGATCAACATTTGCACCACACAGAAGAATAACACTCGTCTTTCCTGCCAAGTCTTTCGCAACTTTGTTGAATCCTGCAAGAGCCAGAGCAGCCGAGCCTTCCACGATCATGTTCTCTTCGAAAGCGATTGTCCTCATCGCCTCCGCAATCTCTTCTTCGCTGCACTCAATGACTTGATCAACAACCGCCATGGCTAGGGGTAGTGTAATTGAATCCTCGTCCATTCCGCCAGCAACGGCTTCGGCCAACGTGGGGAAGTGCTCTGTCTCAACAACATGGCCAGCCGCCATAGACTCTGCGAGTGCCTTCGAGTTGATGGCTGACACGCCAAAGATCTTCGTCTTGGGGCTGAATGCCTTGATCACGGAGCCGATACCACTGATCAGGCCGCCCCCACCCATCGATATGAAGATGTTGTCCACATTGCTGCACTGCTCGAGAATCTCAAGACCGATGGTTCCCTGGCCGGCGACAATATCCGGGTCATTGTACGGCGAGATGTACTCATATGTTCCCGAAGCGGCGAGTTTTTGGGCATATTGTTCGGCCAGCCCGGTCTCCGCTCCATGCAAGATGACCTCCACACCATACGACTTGATCTTCTCCAGCTTTGCAGGGACCACTGTTTCCGGCAGCACAACTGTGACGTCTCTAGAGAGTGCATGCGCAGCGCATGCGGCTCCGATGCCATGGTTCCCCGACGATGCCGTGATCAGCCGGCCCCCGGCTCCCTGCGCCGAGAGCTTGGACGTGGCCCCTCGCAACTTGAATGATCCGGTGAGTTGAAAATTCTCTCCCTTGAACAAAACTTTGATGCCATGCTTCTGACCTGCCTTTCTGGCCGGGATGAGGGGCGTTTCGTAGATGTGGTCGCGGATGCGGCCTCGAGCTTGAACAGCTGCTGCTGCTGTTTCGACGTAAGAGAGGCTCATGCCAGCGGTAGCGGGGTCGAGTCACAGAGATAGGTACTAACAAAGATGAGAACAGACGTTCAAATTGTCCCGAAACAAAGACCACAATACTCTTGTTTCTTTCATCAAGATGCAAGTGTTTTGTCTATTCTTTCTCACCCCCGAAGCCTGAGTTGAAGGAAACCTGTCTTTGTACTTGTAGATGCAGAGAACAGCTTCAACCCCACTGAGTGAGAAAGATACGACTCTACTCTGATTGGCCTCAGCGCATAAACATCCTGTTTCGGCTTAGCGTGGCGCCCTGCTCATGTCTTGGGGCCCTCCTGTTGTCAGCGTCACCGAAGTTCCGAAGCCGCAGCTTGCCAATCCCATGTCAAAAGTTTTCCCATCCGAACGAGAGGAGACACAGAACACAGGGCTACCTCTCGTCTGGGCCAGTGAGTCACTGCGAATCCATGGAGCCATCGAAGAGAAGACGCACAGGCTGCACAGAGTGTCGCCGGAAGAAGTCAAAGGTGGGTAAACGCGTCATTTTAGCAGTGCAGTCCCCGGCAGCTGCTGCCCGTCTATCGGACTTTACAGGCTGATGAGTACTTCAGTGCGATGAGAAGAAGCCAGTGTGCACACGATGCACGAAATATCCACGGCTCTGTTCTTATGAACTGAGCATAAAAACGACAGAGTTCAAGATATCTAAGCCGTCAATACGGAAGGTAGGTTATTCATGTCTTGGCTTCAGTCCCGGACTTGCGACGACTAACAGGCCTAGAAATCAACGTCCCCCAGTAGCACGGGTTCCAGTGCATCCCAGTTGACTGCACCCCGGCCATCATGCACCCCTCCAAGCCCCAGGTCGCCGGCATCATCTCTCTCAGAGTATCGGTTGACACCATTCCCTTCAATTCAGTCCACTCAGCACCGCTTCTACCTCCATCATTTTATCACACACACCGCAACCATCTACTTCCCTCTTCAACCTGATGCCTTACTCCATTTTGCAATACCAGTGGCAGAAAGCAGCCCTGCCATGCTCGCAGCCATCTTGGCCGCCAGCTGTAATCACTTTTTCAGATTGAGAGGCTTTCAAGATGCGCGGAACGCAGCCACAGAAGCAACTGTCCAGAGCCTGTCACGGCTTCGTGAAGCTATCCCGACGAGCAGGTTGAGGGGCGAGAGTCCGGCCTTATTGGCTACATCACTAATGCTAGCGACAACCTGTCTTTGTGTCGGAGACACAAGTACTTATCGACAACATCTCAACGGAGCTCTCCATATTGTTCAGAGGGATGGCGAACAGCACCAGTCAGATCCTTTGTGGTCGCTGGGCCTCAAATGGCTCACGCACTTGATCCTGATGAACAGGATCTCTGGGCTGCCGTTGCCCACACAACAAAAGACCGGTGCACTTGACTGGGCTCCGTTGCTCATAAGTCTTCCAGGGCCGGGGCAGATCGACCCTGTAACGGGTCTATCGTTGGACATCGTTACGATACTTGACGAGATTTGCGACCTATCCGACACGCCATCTTGGCCAACGAAACAATCACCGTCACCAGATAAAATCTCCGGAAAGGATCATGATACAGACGCAGTATTCGCTGTTGACTTTCCCAGGGAGCGGTCACTAGAATTACTACTCCTGTATCTCAAAAACCAGACGCCATCCCCTGACTCTTGGACGGAACTCGATTACAGCCACTACATGTTTATCAATGCAGCCCTCATCTCTCTGTACCGTCGCGTTGATGGTCTGCCAAAAGAAGACGACAAGGTCCAACATGCAGTTGAATCCATCATCGACTCACTACGACACATCGATCAGTATGCCGAAGTCAACATTCCGCTGCTATGGCCACTTCTCAGCGCAGGATGTGAAGCCATGACGGATGATCAACGATCCATGATTGCGAGCAGAATGATGGCGATGACATCACATGGACTGGGTAACTGCCGGATTGTCCAAGGATTCATGAAACAATACTGGGAAAGGGGAGGAAGCCTGAGATGGGACAGGTTCGCAGAGCAGATCGGGGCTGATTTGGTCTTATTCTAAGACAGCTACCGGTTGAAGCTAAATGGAGACGGTGGAGCTGACGGCCAGATGACAGTCAATACCAGGACTGAAGGAGTGAAAGAAGATCTAAGATTTATAGCTGCACGAATATCGAAATACAAATACGCCTGTCCAAATACCCGTTGAGCCGCATCATCAACAATCTACAGCAACTGATAACCCACTGCGATAACTCATGCTCTAAGCGACATCAGGTCCGCCGAGTACGGCGCCAGAAGTTCAACGAAAGAATTGTAGAACACAGTGACGTCCTCGGATCCATAAAGCGAAGACTGTAACTTGACAATCACCAGCGGATCACGCGTTGCGTCGTCCCAAATCTCGAGCACCACGTCATACGGCGTTCGCTCGCGGGCGACAAGCTCAGAAGCCTGCAAGCCGCCCTGTTCCGTGATGACTGCATCGCCAATGCGCACGCTCTCAACCCCGCCCCCGGCGTAGTCGAACACGGCCTGGAAAAGCGGCGCATGCGGCCAATCTTTGGCTGGCGTTTGGAGACTCGGGACCACTGGCAGTCGCTCCAGCAATACGCTGTACGGTACGCGCGAGTGCTGCATTGCCTCGCGCATCGTCTTCTTGATGACGCCGAGCTGTTGGGAAGGACTCAATGGTGAACTGCCTTCCTTTGCTCTTGTCTCTATGCGTACAGGCAAATAGTTGGCAAAGAAGCCCATCACGGCCATGTCCTCTACCGTTGCGCGGTTCGTGTCTGCGACGCCAATGGTTATCGTTTTTGCGTCGTCATCATTGCAGTCGTCCTCGGTGGCTACAGCCTCACTGCTGCTTATCTTGGTCGTTAATTTGGCCAGGAGTGCAGCGTAAACTGCCAGGAAAAACTGCATACGGGAGACCTTTTGCTGTCGCACCGCCTGCTTGACTTGTGCGGACACGGCCGGACTGAGGCGGAAGACGCCTGTGTGTTGAGACCAAGATGACCGAGGCCCATCGCTCCGTTTGGGAATCGACAGTGCGGGAGACTAAGAACGGGCATGACGGGTACTGCATGGTTGTTGTCGTACTGGGAGATCCAGTAGGCAATGTCAGCATCCAACCGCCCCTGCTCATAGTCGGCGCGCTGCCTCATGGCAATCTTGGAGAACTGCGGAACGGTGGCCGGGAGCACTGCGCCGCCGTAGAGGGCAGAGATTTCGGACAGGAGCAGAGACGTAGTCGCGCCGTCGCCAGCGATCCGATGATAGGCAACCACTAAGAGATGACGATGGGCTGACGACCAGTGGAAATCGACAATTTTGAAAGGCCTGCCAGACTCGAGGTCGTACGGCTCCTCGTGCAGCTCCTTCATTGCCTCCTTGGCTGCTGCTTGATTGGCGACCGCTGTGCATTTCAAACCCCATGTCGGCTTCTCCAGTACAACTTGGATAATATCATCGCCCGCGTCTGGCTTGGGGTTGGCGAGAAAAGCAGTACGAAGGATTTCGTGCCTGCGAACAACTTCCTCCACGGCAATACCCAACCGTTGCAAATCTATGTAACCTTCGAAAAAGTAGGCGATGGTATTGTGGAAAATGGTACGATCATGCGGGAGCAGCTGTTGCAGATTCCACACATACTTCTGCCCTAGCGACAGGGGGTGCCGATTCAACCTCGTCGAGTTGGCTTCACTTTCGCCGGGTCCATGGCAGGTCACACTGCTCGCGGCAGATTCCAATGACTGCTTTCGAGATGCCAAGGAAAAGTTTGCACTGCTCGAGGTCGGGCTGTTCTGGCTGGTTGAACCCTCTGCCGTCTCTGGTTGGGATTCTTCGGCATCTGGAACTATCAGGGGCAAAGCGTCGCGAGGGAGTCGTTTGACGGCTTCCTCGGCAAGGTCTTCGAGAGAAGCACCACTGAGGACCCGCAAAATTGGTATGTCAATTAAAAGTTCTTGTGAGAACCTGCAATCAATGGAATGTTAGCCACGTACATGGATGTACAGTTCACGGGCTCCTAGGCTCCAAAGACCTTCACAGGTGGCTTTGCAGAGACCACAAGTCCTAGAGCTGCTGTATAAAGCACGCGATTGGGTATAGAAGATGAATGGGCTGGAACAATGCAAGACAACATGTTGTGTCTGCCAGGGGGATGGGATGAATTTCTCCCACATACCATCCAGATACTGCGACAGCACCGAGCGAGTCTATGCCCTGGTCAAGGAGTGCAGCACTTATGTTGACAATTTGGTCCGCAGGAATGAGGAGGATGTCGCGTGTCTTCTGAGCGAGTCCATCTTGATAAACCAGACATATTAGCACCCTGTCATCTCACTGAGTATGGAATGGGGGAGGGGTAGAGGGTTCTAGGGCTTAGCCTACGAATGATAGTCTCTTTAGCCTCGTCCACAGTTGTTGCTTCGCGTAGTCGTTCCTTGATTGAGACCCTGCCGGCAGACGACTCTTGGCCCACAGGAATAAGACTATTTTCGGGTGTCCGAAGATGGCCAAATCGAGGGTTGTCCCACAATTTGAAGGAGTTCTTGTTCTTTGCCTCAAATACCGGGAAGCCCGTTATGACTTCGATATCGGACATATCGGTGACCGACATACGGGTAGTATTGCTTTCCTCTTGTCTAAGTGCGCAGCGTCCTGATTCGATGGCTTCGGCAAACAGTGTGTGGAAGTCTCTTTCTGCGAGCTTGCCCATGTCGTGGACTTTAAGAAGTTGTTCGTCGAAATGCGTTCGGGCAAGATACCCGATGCCCATCACAGCACCCACATGAATTGTCGAGGCCTAGAAGTGTTAGCAGTTCTCTGCACTTCGTCTTTTTTTCCACCAGGAGAACCAAAGAGACGTAAAAATTATTGAGGGTGACTTACCACCAGCCCCTTCGTCCGCCGGTACTGCGCGAGAGCTTGCAAGTAAGCGTTGGCCGCGTTATAGTTGCTCTGGCCGGGGTTTCCCCCTACGGTGGCTCCGGACGAGAACATGATGAAAAAGTCTAACGGCGTCTCTGCGTTTGCGTCGCAGAATCGTTCATGCAGAAGACGTGCACCGACAACCTTGGAATTCAACACTAAATTCATGTCCGCCAAGCTCATATTCTGGAGCATCGTGTCACGGAGGACTAGAGGGCCATACGCGATCCCTCCTATCGGTGGCAAAGTCTCGCGGATTTTGGACAGACCCGCATCCAAGTCTTTCTCGTTGGACAAATCCCTAGACAATCAATGTCAGTGAAGGCCTGGGAGTAATTGGGTTGGAAACAGGATGTGGGAGATCGACTGCGTGGACTTACATTGGTAAGACTGTCACATGCCCCCCGAGCTCCTCCATATCTTCGATCCATCTAGGTTCTGGGACTTCTGGATGGCGACTAGATAGTACGACGTAGCGACCACCATGTGTGACAATCCATCGAGCCAATGAACGGCCCATTGTTTTGGCAAGTCCGGCAAGAAGGTAGGTTTTGTCTGGAGCGAGTAAGCTCCCGGCGTCAATCGGACGAAGCCGGGCTTGAATTGTGCTGTCGGTCCTCCAGTCAACAATAGTGCAGAGGTCCACGGGAGATTTTCCGTGTTGCAGATCAGCCACCTTGATGATTGCTGTTCCATCCGTGGCATTATCATCGGTAGCTTCTGAGGATGCGAGCAGAGCCTGCTCAATAGCCATAGCAAAGTCACGACAGTGAGCATTCTCATGTACTGTGCCGGAACCATGCGCTGCAAAGAAATGAGAAAGGTCGTACTTTGCACAATGTGGTGTTTGAACCTTGGCCAGGCGGCGGCCGAGGTTTGCGGATGTGTGCTCTTTTGCTGATGAGAAATCGCAGTAGACAGACACTTTTGCAGTCATCATTTTCTTGAGCGTTCTTTCTGATGCCCATGGCTCTAGATATGTCCATGAGAAACCCGAGCTGAGCTCTGTCTCAGTTATTTGTCGACTGGTGGCAAAGCGGACCTCGATACTCCTCTCCTTGGCTTGTTTTGCAATGGCATCCACACAGAACCGCGGTGCGTCAAGCACGAGAACAGTGGTGTCTTGAACCGCGCTTCTCATGATACCATGACTTATGACAGAGGCCACAATATGGTGCAGAATACAATTGTCTTCAGACGGCAGGGCAAAGACGCGACTGCGCGGAACACGGGCAATCGACGTGTTGCTGTCTGCCAGCACCACTACAGGCGTTTTGGTTTCCGTGACAAATCCCTGGCACAGGTGGAAGAAGCCCAGTCTGCCAACCCGAATCGCCCCGGTGAGAGCAAAGTTGACGCGGACGTGAACTGGGTCACCATGCATACCGGAGACCAAAGACGGCGCAGATGATGGACGAGGGCTGCCTATCGTGTCCATGAACTCAAGGAACGGAGACGCGCCGTCAGCAGATAGACGGAGGCATACGGGGGTATCACTTGGCCGGGAACCCGAGAGAATAACACGGCGCGCAGAGTTCAAGCGGTTGTTCCGTGCTGTGTCGTGCTTGATGCGAGGGATCGAAGTACGCCCGTCGACGAGGTACATCTCGGGTTCATGGGACCATAACAAACTACTGCTGTCCTCAGATGGTCTTGTCGTCTCTTCGAGCTGGATAACGTGCTCGGCGATAAGTGCGGGATATTCCAAATGTTCAGCGTTGTCCACGTCGATATTCAGGACATTGATCTGTGGATTTTCAAGCTGTATCGTCCGAAGGAGGCCGATGGTCATAGCCTGGAGAGGATTGTCCGTGAAAGCCGCCTCTGTGATCCAGACGACGACTTTGGCGTAGTCGCCGGAGAATAGCGACTTGGCAGCTTCGAGCTTGACGTCGTTGAGATTGCCGAATATTTCATTGTCAAGCTCCGAGACCACGACGAACGTGGACCCTGTCTCCAGCCGTGCCGCCTGCTTGGCCACAGTTTCCAAGCAGTCAAGCCGTAATATTCGACGGTGGGTCAACTTGTCTTGGAGCTTGCTCAGAAAAGCCGACGAGCGACCAGAGAGGCCACCAACGAAAATAAGCTGCGGCATACCCGCTCCGTCGTTTTGACCATTGGGCACCG